CCGGTCGTCTTCCCCGCTGGTTCGTGTTATGGCACATGGGGACAGCCTGCTCCTGCGCCCTTAAGACTTCCTTCTTGAAGAACACCCAGCCTTTCTGGACCCCTTTGCCCTTCAGGACTGTCTCCCATGGGACTTTCCCAACCAGTGTCCTGAACAGGCCGAAGTCTGCCCTCCGGAAGTCCATGGTAGTGGTTTTCCTGGCCCTCCTCCTTACGTCTCCAAGAATCAAAAACTCTTAGCCATATCATGGTCACTAAGCCCAAGACGGCCTCTGACCACCACATCTCCCGTGAGTCCTTCTCTGTTTGTAAACAGCAGGTCAAGCGAGGCACCTCCCCTGGTAGACTCACTCACCAGCTGTGTCAGGAAGTTATCTTCCACACACTCCAGGAACCTCCTAGACTGTTTCCTCTCTGCTGTATTGTATTTCCAGCAGACATCTAGTAGGTTGAAGTCCCCCAGGAGAACAAGGACTAGCGATTCTGAGACTTCTCCCAGGTACCTACAGAATATTTCATCTGCATTTTCATCCTGGATGGGTGGTCTGTAACAGACTCCCACCATGCTATCTGCCTTGCTGGCCTTCCCCCGATTCGTACCCATAAACACCCAACCCTATCATCACCATCACCAAGCTCTAGACAGTCAAAACACTCCCTAATATACAGGGCTACCCCACCGCCTCTTCTTCCTTGCCTATCCCTTCTGAAGAGCTTATAGCCATCCATTGCAGCACTCCAGTTGTGTGAGTCATCCCACCATGTTTCTGTGATGGCGACTAAGTTGTAGCTATCCTGCTGCACAATGGCTTCCAGCTCCTCCTGTTCGTTTGCCGTGCTGCATGCATTGGTGTAGATGCGCTTGAGCTGGGCTCTTGATTTCACCCCCAACATTGCCACGCCACCCTCTGGCTCCTCTCTAGTGAGCCTGGTTATATGACATAAACACCGGGGCAAGGAGAGATTTGATGGTTGCCTGGAGGATGGTAATTTCTAATCATGAGAGGGAAATGAGCCAACATTTTCTGAGAAGAAAAATCCAGTGAAATTTATTATGCTGTTGAACGATTTCCCTCAGGAAGGAATGTCAGTGCCATCACTCTCACATTATTAAATACCAAGCAGCATATATTATTTAATTATATGGTGAAAAATAAATGAATAAGATGACTTGATATATTTTTGCTGCTTTCACTGGCCAGGATTCAGTTGTACCAAACAGAAGGAGGTGGATCCTGTGAGAATAAATAGGTGTGAGAGCATTTTCACAGTGTTCATGTTGTATAAAAAATGAGATTGGCAGAGAATAAAGTGTCAGGGAAAGCTATTTTACTGCTAGAATTCTAGCTAGCTTTGGTTGGTACAATGGTATGCAATTAAGTCCCAAGTCAGTGGAATTATTTTGGATTTTTTAAAAAGCATGAGTGAAACAAGCATTTGGCCTGGGACCTAAGGTTTAAAGCATAAATTTTAGCATCAACAGTACTGATACTGAGTAGAATGGCAGAGATAAAAACAGAGAAGAAAGCACAAAAATTGAGGAGCTCTGGAGAGGAGGAAAATAAAATTTTACTTAAACTGTTAGTGCTCTTTGGTATGGGATGCCACCTTGTGGAAGTTTTTAGGATGTCATGTCTTTTATCAAATCTCTTGCAAGTGTTCCTGACTATTTACTCTCGTCAATCACTGTAGATAATCCTGTTTGCATAGATCAGCCTTGATCTTTACTAGCCCCTCCATCACCTGTTTTTTTATGTAATCTGAACTTTCAGTGTAATTTAGGGCTGGAGAAATCTTACTTTGGGAGGTAAAAAGTCTGTGAAAAGGAGAACTTCCCTTAGTTTGCCCAGTGGGCCTGGGAATCAGCCATGGTGAGAGTGTGATCAGTGCAGATACACTGATACCGTATAATTGTAGCACTGCACTAATGTGTGTTGTCAGAAAGCTCTGAAGGGAACTGTCATCACATTGTGCAATTTGGCATGTTAACCCAATCAGTACAGCAGTTGGAAAGGAGTTATTCCATGGCTGTCTTCAGCGGGACATTAGAGCAGGAAGAAAGAGCAAATGTGGACATGTCTGCTGCCTCAGCTGTGATGACCTCTCTTGTATCGAAGTGTATATAGAGGGTCTCCTGAACTGAGACCCTATCAGAGGAACAGAGGCCATCTGTCCGTTTTTCTGCTCTCCAGCCTTGATTGTCTGTCTGTACTTGGTCCTTTTCTGTCTTCATGTCCATCCCATAGAGCACCAATGGGCCTGTCACTTTCCTGATTTCCTACACTTGAAAATAGCTCCCCCTTCCCTCCTCTAAGCAATTAGCTGCTTCTGACTTTGCCTAAACAAATATAAACATGAGCCTTCTGGAGTAATTTCCTAGCCATCTTTCTTTTCTAGACCCAACCTCTGTCAAGGATTGTGCTGGTGTTTTTCAAATGGTAAAGAGATGCTGGTAGGGGCTTCTTCCTTCTACGTCTTTTGCTACTGTCCTCATAACTGGAGTTGGATACTAAGGTGCAACTCTTCATGGGCTGATCTTTCTACTGATCGCATGTGCTCCTTTTTGTCCTTTACTTGCCCCTCCTCTGTATGTCCTTTGCCCTGATCTTGCTCTTACCACCACCTTGTTTATCTGCAATAATCTATTGCTTTTGGCCTGATGATTCTAGAATTCACTGCCCTCTTTCAAAACACTTGAGCTAGGGCTGTGATTTCTGAGCCTAATAGAGTATGAAAGTCCAAGGAACACATTTGTGAATAACCTTTAAAGTCTGGATTCAGGTTTTGAAGGAAAGTTACACTGAACAATTTCAGTCTTTGGTAGAAATTTTGGAAACATTTACAGTCTCATCCATGGAGTGCCATGAAGTCATTGATTGAACTGCCATCAGCTATTGGCAATGTACAGTCCTGGCAGCTTAGAAATGCCATTTAAAACCATAAATTAATGTTGTGTGGTGAGAGCCGCTTCTAACCTCCTGAACCATCAAGCTCTCAGCCTGAGCAACTGACTGCAGTTCTCATCTAATGGTTGAAGCAGCTAAGCCACAGAGTGGATTCCTGAGAGGGCTTGAGGCACCAAACTGCAGCAATTCAAGGACAGAGTAGATGAAATTTAAAGCAGGAGCAATTGGGTGACTGATTCCATGAACTGCAGACAATTTAAACCTGTGGTGATGTCCACTGGGTCCTGCAGCACGATGTGATCAGAAGACTTCTGTTTTGCATCCCCCCACAGTTCTCTACTACTCCAAGTTCACATTGACCTTGCTGCCACACCATGAAAGGCAGTGAGAAATCACTTCAAGACTATTAATTGGAGAGGACGGATTTGGGGGAAGAGATCAAAGTCCTATAGCCCTTTCCTGCCACATGCATGTGTGTATCTGTTTGACTTTTTCGTGCTACACACACTCACGTTGCAGCTGCACCCAGCTCTGCATCCAGGAAGCAGATGTTGTGACATTTATCCACACCCCGTGATGCACAGCTCCCCAACTCACTCTGTGGAGTTATTGTGTGTTGAGTTTTGGAAGCAGAGGTGCTTCCCAGCCTCCTTACAAGAATGCTGAAAATTTCCTGTGTTACCCAATGCATGTGCTTGTAAGCTTTAGACAGTTGTGGGATTTTTTTCCAGATTGGCTACAGTCTATAGCTCTTCATCATGCCAGATTAGTGCTCATCACAAGGCAAGACTGAACCCTATTTTAGTGGAGGTTACTGTTCTCTGACCTTGAGTTTCCAGTTTGAGTAAAAGTTGTAAGTTTATGCAAGCACAATAGGGTAGGCTGGGTGTGGCAAACCTGCTAGATGGCAAGAATTTTTGTTCCTCTTGTTCCTCATTGCTGACAGGTGAGCACCAGCAGCTTTGGGATACCACTGTGAGTAATGATTAGGTGCTGTTTTGTTTTTTCCTGTGCAGTGGTCCAATTAAATTGGAGCAAAATACGCAGGGGGGGAGGAAGGGGCTGTACTCTGATCCCCCTCCCAGTGAAGGTGATGTGAATTGCATCTCTGACCTTGGCAAAGGCTAGATTTGGCAGGAGACTGTAGTAGTACCGTTTAGTAGCTCACAGATTTAATGAAAGTGCAGCTAACTCCTACTTCTGATTTCACTGCACAGTGATCACAGATCAGATGGGAAGTTGCATAACAGCCATTTGGAGCAAGTTCTAAAAGATGGCCAGCTTTTAGGCCCCCTGTAGTGCAACACTTGGTCATTGTTCTGAAGATCTGCCCCGTGCCTTAGGGTGGGAAACCTTATTTCCTTAACCAGACATGGTATTGTTAAGAGTGAGAAGCAAAGTGAAGCTAATTTTATGTTTTATTAGCAGCTTTGCATTTCCTTCAGGTTCTCTCACTGACAGAGAGTAGCAGAAGTTGAGCTTCCTGCAGATAATAAACCTAGAAATCTGATTTTTGTGACATTGAACACTGGCAAACAACAGTAAAGCTATGAGAATTTGTACTAAAACCCAACCTGGCTGCTGGGACTGGGCATTTTATGACAAATATTTATTGAAATGATACTATTGATCATAATTATCTCCAGGACTTCCTTGCCTGCCCTAGGATGAGGAAATACGGGGCTGGATACTCTTGAGACATTGTAGATGACTGCAGAAATAAGTGCAATAGAGCATTCTTTCAAATAATGTTTTTTATCTTCCTACAGAAAAATTACATAGGATTGTGTTGTTGGGAGATGGTAGCCCTGGTTTCATGTGCTGAGTCTTTAAAAAGAGAATTCTGCTATCCAGTGGCTTTTGAAATAGACTTACAAGTATAGGTGACATGACCAAGTCTAGGTAAGAACATTTAGCTTCACCTTGTTTCAGCACCAAGCCAGTGAGAGCATTACTGCAGAACAGCTACCTGAGAATTTACTTGAGAAAATCTTTCCTTTCAGAGT